ATACAAATATAGGCGCTCATTTGGGCGCATTCAATGCAATGGTGGCTTGTATTCATTTTATACTGCAAGGTACAATTCAGTATTACATTGATTGGTTGGAGTTTGCTGAGAAGAAGACTGAGTATCAACAGGCTCCAGCACACCAAGCGGCAATATTTTGCGATTAAGTTTTGGTGAAAGGTATTATACGAGAAATGTATGCTAGAAAAAAAAACCGATCCGGATGTATGGTAATGACGACAGATAACAGATTGAGAAAATGAATGAATAATCGATTGGTACCCACGTTACGTCAAAAGAACACTTAGAAAACTAAAAAAACACTTGGAAACGTGATGAGCTGATCCGCTAACTCGAATGTACTGTTGATACGAGGAACCGAGACCGAAGTTAATAGTACGATTTTCTGCTATACCACTAAGAAAGATTCCGAAATCAGTGGTGAACTAGTAGCCATTTCTAACGTCAATTTGGTAACTACTTAACAACTGAAAGCTAAATGTTTGAATACTTGGTTATAAATCTATTTTTGCAAAATTCAGTACCACGCACTTCATCTGCAGCCCATTCGTTTGATAAAAAACCAGGCGTAACTCGGAATTTTTGCAAAAAGCCTGTTCCAAAATGTAGTGATTGGAATTGAGTGGTGGCATTAGTCTGAGTCTTTAACGGATATGAGTTTTCTTCGCCTAAAAAGTTAATACTTTTTGAGCACATTATTAACGGGATGAAGTCTTAAAATCATAAATCGCCGGACAAAAACGAAAAAGGCTGAAAGAATATTAATAAAATTATAAGATAGTATTGCCTTTTACTAAAGTAAAAAGGGTTTTTCAGGAAGTTAAAATATTTTGTCTATTTTTTGATAAGGAAGTTATGTAATTTTGAACTGCTGATTTTTGATGCTTAACGAATAAAGCATTGGTTGGTACTAATTAAGGGTAAGCCGCTTAGGACTGAGGGACCATACACAGTTGCATCTGGTGTGCAGAAACATTCCAACAACATCACCAGCATGAGATCTTCATAAAAATTGTTTGGGTGGTGCCGGTATTTTTTACGAACTATTAAAAGCAAAATGACGAAAAAATGAGTTATAAAATTAAGTTTGACCCGTCTGGATGTGCAAAAACAATATAACAGGAAAGCAATCGAATAATGTGAACAAGGATAAGAATGGCTTCAGATGGCATAGATATTTTTTGATGTTTGCTATGGCGCAGTACTAAGTTTACCCAACATACTTAGCCCAAAAAAGCAATCATTAACTGGTACGCAACCAGCTCGATTTGATTTGCGCAAAAGGCGAGTGGGAACGGTGCTCCAAGAATGGCAGTTTGGCTCCAGCTCGTTTAGCATACGCTAAATTATCAGTTCAGCATAAAAGCCACAGAAAATTTGACGACTGCGTGCTAGAATTTCAGAAAGCATTCGCATTCCCTTCCTTATTTTCTAATTTATGCAGATTTGGACGATTGAAACAGAATATTTTGAAACAAAAGAAATGTACAAGACGGATGATTAGAAACGGCTGGAAGCCCGCTGACTACTACTCCTGCCATTTCCACAAGCCACTGCTGCTTCGGCTGGTTTAACTCGCAGCGAAAGATTCTTCATCTCCGCTTCTACTGTTTTACCTGACCTGCAATTTCTTACATCAAATATAAACGCTTGCAGTGGCAAAATGATACATGTAAGTGTAATCACGTCGAACAGGCAGGGGAAGTGTGCAGCTCAGGATCGAAAGACCTGAATAGTTGCATCCGAAATATAAGAGCAACGCAACAACAACACTAAGACGCGATACTCAAACCGACTGTTTGATCTTGCCCACCAATTCTATGGGTAATTTTAATTTCAGAATACCAAAGAGACGAAAGGCAAACCTCAGTGCTAAGCTGAGGTAAAACATTTTTTACAGCGAGTCAAATCTGGCACGTCTTTTTACGTCAACAGAAATTGGAGAGGCTGAAAATTGTTTTCAAATTTCTGGCTCCACGCATGGCCGTAGATCATCCTGGCATAATTTTAGCTCCCTAGCTCTTATAATTCTGGGTGACGAAAAATTCTGAGATATAGATACACACGTACGTGCGAGCATCGTTTTTGTTATAAGGCAAAAAACTTGTGAAAAACGAACTTTTTGTCCAACATATGTTCAATTTCCATACTTCGACTTCTTTCACTCAACTGCAATGAATCACTTGCCGACGCTGTTTTCCGTAAATTAACACTTTCCTTTCTTTTCGACCTGAATTACGACTTCATGAATGAAAAGCGAGTTGCCGAAGAAAAATTAGCAGTAGATAAAATTACTAATTATGAGATCTCTCCAGCGACCGTCTCGGTTCATGGTATACGAAAACATCCTCCAAGAAAACAGCTACCTGAAAGGATGGCTGAATGTTCTTCGATGTACCATGGCTTTCACCAGGATCAAAGTATCAAGATGCGGCACTGTCCGGACGCAGTTCTTAATTTCTTCATCAGTAACCGTGACTAGTTCACAATTCTCCGTTTCAGAAGGCATCGGATAGCGGCCATTCTTGGTTATCCAGTCGTGCTCCTGAAATCGCACTTTGCGTAGCGCTGAGTGGCGTCTGAAAGAGAACAAATATTGCTTGGACAGCCCCACCACCTCGCCTCCTCTTCTCTCCCTCCCCTCCCCCCTCGCGCCACCATACACACACACACACACACATAATTGTTGCTTGTAAGTGCGGGAAGGAGATAGGCTCCGAGTTCACTGAGGTATCATACAAAGTGTAGTTTCAGTTTGTTATGGCCGAAGCGCTGGATGCAACCCGGTAACGTCACTAACATGGGATACCCACATCGATTGTTGAGGCGTCCTAGTATTCTCGATATTTGGGACAGCAAACCTTAATTTCGTGCAGCATGATACGCAAACCAGGATCCTTTTTGAGCAAACACAGTATCAACGATTTTAGCAAATCGCTAGTTACGGAACTGAAAAATAGCGATGAATTAATCTCATGCAGCATATAGCAAAGTAATAGTTTTTAAAATAAAATGTAAACAATTCTCAAAAATATTTTCCTGAAGCCAGAACGGTTTCAGAAAAACAAAAAAGAAAAATAGAAAACTGAAATGGAAATATAAAATTTGATGAAAGAAATATGAAT